TTTTTTTGGCACCGGGCATTGAACTCGGGTCCTTCTGCTTTCGAGGCAGGTGGTGGCACCACTGAGCTAAATCCCCAGCCTGTCTTCTCTTTTCTTAATGCCTGTGATGTTTGACCTACTCTCAGGTTAAGCAAGCACACAATTGCTTTATTACCACACTAGAAAAAAAAATCTCACCTCAGGGGAAAACCCTCTCTGACGTAGGCGTGGATTTTACCAGCATCTCCATCCCCTCCTCTCCCACTTTCTTTCTCCTCCCATTTGCTGTTTATTGCTAACCACTCACATGGCTGCACACCTCACATTTCAGGCTTTGCTCCTACTACAATATTTGTTTAATATAAAGCCCACCTCAATCAGCATTTCAATTCTTAAAACAGTCTACAATCCAAGGACTATAGCAATAATTTGAGATGCTACCCCTCTCCTTTTCCACTCCTACCAAATCACATATTCGTGTAGATACCTGAGTTTAATGTTCTCACACTGTGTGTGTAACAGATAGCCGTTTCTGGAAGTAGTCCTTAGCAGCAACATTTTCTCCTGCCCTTGCTAACACATTAAGATCCTCTTCATTTTTCTCAGCATTCTAAACTCTATGGGGAGGCCTCACTTAATGGTTGGACTCCAAATCGCAGTGAAATTCCTGCCTCCGCCTCCCGAGTTCTGGGAAAACAGGTGGGCGCCACCTGCCTGGCGACCCTTACTTTCAATTCTCATGCCATTAATCATCACGTTTTCTGAGTTTGACAATGTGGGCCCACGTTGGAATTTAGCAATTTACTTTCATCACAGAGCATCATTGGCCTAAGAAGCTAAGTTGTGTCTCCGAGACCCTGCATCCCAGACATTTATATAAATTGAGGTTCCTCAGGTTTGATGGAGGGACGAATGAGACCAGGGATCCCGCTCCCCACAGGTCCCCACCGGAATCAGGGTCTCCCCACAATTCCCACCCTCCAGGCACAGGTGGAGATGCAGCTGTGAGCTGCGGCTGCCCGAGCCTGCACTCTAGGCTGGCGGGGTGGCTGTGGAGAGACAGGGTGCTGGGTACACAAAATAGACCTGCAGGGCTGCAGGGACAGAGTGCACACCGGTGCACCGCACGGAGACCTAGAGGAGCTCCGATTCTCAAGCAGCGGGGAGGCACTGGTCCGCCATTGCTGTTCTGACCGTTTCCACCCAGACCTCACCCCGTCGCATCCCGTCCCTATCAAGACACCCGTCCCACAGCATCACCATTGCGTGTCTGGAGGGTCTCCCCGGGTGCTTCCCACGCAGCCTGCAGCCAGCAGAAATCCTAAAGCAGAGCGGTTTACTCAGCTGGGGAAGCTGTCAGTACTGCGGTCTGGATCTGGGCTTAGGAGCCAGCAAACAGCGCCCTCCTCCCCGAGCCCCTGATTGGACAGTTCATACAGCCCGCCCCCTCAACACTGATTGGCTCCCACTCCACTGCTCACCTCTGAGCTGAGAATGACAACAGACGCCAATCCTTAGCAGTGTGAGCGCAACTCGAATGGGTGATGATAACCCAGACACTTCTTGTCCAATTTGTCCCCCAGGATGCTGACCTGTCTTAGTCTTCATTTAAGAAGAGTTTACTCCTGACTTTGTAGAGCTGCTTCTGTCGTTGTTGTTGTTGTCTTGCTATGTAATTTATTCTGTTCTTGAACTCACTAAGTAGCTCAGACTGGTTTTAACCTCGCTGTGATCCTCCTGCATCGGCTCCCTAGTGCTCGGTTTACAGGGATGCACTATCATGCCTTCTTACTGGACTTAGTGTGCTCTTCCTGTGTGTTGCTATTCCAAATGGGGTCACCGGTCTGCTAAGCCAGTTCCAGAGTTAATTCACTATGGAGAAATCACTGTGAGAGAGCATCATGAGGCAGGCAAAGCCAAGACACAGTACAAGAGAGGGAGGCCCTGCTGTTCTGAGGGGTGAGAAATTAGGAATACGGTTGTTGACTTCATGGACAAGACTTTCTCATAGTATATCTCTTGATTTACTCATCCTAAGCCAAGAAAATACATGCCAAAGACCCATATGATTGCCGAATTAATGTCCTTTCTGGCGTTGAGACAGGAAAACCTAAAGACTTCAGACTGTAAGCTCCCTATGGCCTGTAGTTCCCTCCTCAGTAGTTATTACCAGAAGGAAAATATTACCTGGAGTCATATGACAGTCTTGATTACTAACTTGTTTGGCATGAGAGGTGTGTAGGATGTTGGTAAAGCACACTGCACGTGTGTCTGGTTCTCGTGGAGGTGTGACATTAGGGACCTTGTCTTCTCTCTCCTTCTTCCTCTCTGGCACCTGTTTTGCTTTGTGCTTCCTGGTTCTCATGCAGCAGTTATTTTTCTTTCTTCATTTCCTTCCACTGTGACATTTTTCTCCATTGAGATCAAATAACAACTGACTTCAAGCTCTGAAATCATGAGCTAAAATAATCCTTTTATTTTTAAGTCCTGTATGTCAGGTATTTTGCACCTACAACAAAAAAGTTAGTAAAATTAACTGTAGGTGTCTGAACCAAATAGACTGTCAAATACATCAACCCTTTCTTTGAAAAACTATATAAATGAATTATTTCTATGAATGCTCCTCATAGATTTTCTTCATATGAACATGTTTCAGTGTAATACCAGCAACTCTTTGTATATCAAAAGCACTTCCCAGGGAAAGCACCATGGTGACTAGTAAGAACCTCTGAAAAGACAATACCCTCAATAGAATTGACACATGTGTTACCTACTTTCCACTGCTCTGCAGCTTCTGGCTCTCACCACTCTTTCTAGAGCTATTCTGAGTAGCTGGAGGCAACACTCCAAAGAGATCTACAGCCCAGGAGCACCTAGACTCAAGTTTCATCACAGCTTCAAGTCATTGGACTTAAGGTCACTGCAGTGTGCACCTCAGTACAGTTTATTCATCTGCTTTACACCAATATCGATGAGTTATGATGTAAATATAACCAAATTAAGTCTGTGTATTTAAACTAGGATCATCCTTATTTTCTTTCTGTGCTTATAAATGAAGGAAGACACTTCTAGGATACTGTATATGAATTCAAAACATGCAGGAATTATTACTTATTGATAAAATAGATGCCATAAACTTATATTCATATGACAAATGTATAGAAAATAGCTAACTGAATGTGAATTATCCATTTTTTTCATGTATATGGTTGGTTCCTTCACCATTCCAGTTAGATATTGTCACAAGATGCTCTGTGTCTCGGGATTTCCATGTTCTGTTTACCTTTTTAGAACAAACTCATGATCCTCTCACAGCACTGACTGTTCCTGGCTAGCTGAACCCATGGCTAGGACTTGAGGGACATTCCAGCAGCTGAGGGAAATACTTTTGCCCCCAGGAATCTTTTCTTTTCCTATGCATAGCATCAGGTACCTATAAACTATTTTGGGCCGGGAATTTAGCTCAGTGGTTTCTCCGCCTGCTGTGCAAGTGCAAGGACCCGAGTTCGATCCCCGGTACCAAAAACAAAATCTATAAACTATTTTGTTGGTAAAAACAAAAAATGTTGTTGGGGAGCTGATGAGCTCCACCTAGCTTCCTGCTTGAAACTACACTCCAGAGATCTACTATGTCCATAATTTGAACCTTCTCTTAGGTCATTCCACATTGCCATTTGGGTGAACCAAGGACCTTCACCATTTGGGGCCATTTTGGATGTACTGCAAGACATTTTGGGCAATTGGCTGGTCATCAGTGCCAGTTATGGTGAGGCAAGTGCCTTCACCATTTGTGGCTCGTTCAACCTCATAGCAGGGTGATTGGGACCATGATTAGTGTGAGTTGAAATTCAGAATTAGAAAACATTTCCAGGCTTTTGTTTGCTTTTGTTTCTTTTATCTTTCTCTTCATATAACCACCTCTATTCTAGGATGGGGAGCAGGGTTTCAGTACCATCTAGACTTATGTAAGCCACTTGGGCCTTCAAGATGTTTTGATGCTTCTTTGTGATACAATATAGAGTTGAGGTTCTTCAACCATTCATCCACAAAAAAGAGATTTTATTTATTTTTTTATTGTTTGATTTTAATAACATAACATAAAGCCCCTAGAATTGATATAATCATTATGCAAAATACCTAGATGAATACTGTCTTCTTTTAAAAATATAAAATAAATAACAAGACATGAAAATAGGCAAGTTTCCACTAAATAAATGAAAACTTTAAGAAAAGAAAGTTTTCCTTTCCATGTCATTTGAAGGGAAATTATCATTTTAAACAACATTCAAGTTTATTAAACAAATTTAAAAAGGTAATATAAAATGTTTAACTTTCATCAGCTTCAAGGTTTATGTTGCTGCCGAATTTTGCATATAACTGAACTTTCAAATCTGCTAACACTCGCTGAATTGATTCTACTCTGATTCTAAGGCATCAGTTTCTTCTTGCAAATGTTTCTTTGCTTTTTCTAACATGCCTTGTGTTTCTTCTTGAGAATGGCTAATGAAAACGTCACCAATCTGGTAAGGTATCATTAGCTGTCATCATCTGGGAGCATGATGTCGTCACAAGCATCTTCTAAATTCTGGAATTGTTTCTTTTTTACTTCTATTTCTTCCTTTAGCTCTGTGATTCTACGCGTATTCTGCGCAAATTTATTTATCTTTTGTTGATCTTCGAAAGTAACATTGACATCTTCTGCAGCAATTTCATGTATCACCTAAAAATACATATTAAAAAGATGTGCTGAGTTTGATCCCCAGCTGAGCTTCTCACCAGCTGAGTCACTACAGCACTAGCAATCGCTGTGTCCAAGTTTCTCCATCTGTAAAATGGGGGAACGGGGTCCTCGAAGAGGGCCTGGGAGGATCACAGAGAAGCCAGGGGCCGCTGGGCCCTCACCCATCTCACCCTCCATGGACGCATGGAGGATGCAGGAGCTGAGGAACGACCCGGGTTGAGTGCGCGGGACGCGGGGCCTGCGCACCCCGGCTCCTCCGGCAGAGGCGGCCCTGAGCCCCTGAGTGTCCCGGCCCCGAGGGAGGCCCACGGAGACGCTGGGACGCCGGTCCTCGCCGCGGAGCTGCCCGAAGGGTCCGGGGCCTCTGCCGGGCCCCAACCCAGGCCTCGGGGCCGCACACCATCCAGCCCCGCTCCGGACCCCCCAAAAAAGAGATTTGAAATGTATAGAGATACTAGTGGTGTGTTTGATGAGTTCTGTTGCAAACTGGTGAGGAATAAAAGTGCCTTTGCCAATTTGTGGCTTTTTATAAAGCTTGAGTTAATATGACTTAGAACAAGGTGGTTTTGTTGTACTGTATTATGGTCTGCATAACTGAAAGTGAATTCTGATTTCATGGAACTGTGCTAAGAAAATCCATGGGAGTAACTTTTGCCAGGATAATATCTATAACTGCGTTTTCCTTGGTCTTTTCTGATTAGTGGCAAGCACAAGAAAGAGGCTTCTGTGCCACTGATAATAGCAGGTATTGACTAATTTTGGTGAGTTTCTTGGTTGAAGTTTACATTTTCCTTCATTTTGCCTGAGTCCTTGATTGATTTTCAACTGTTTCAAAATATTTGTCAAATTGTATCAGGTAGTTTCTTTAGAAATGGCTCAATAATCAACAGTATTCTTGGTCCTTCTTGCCTCTACTGGGAATAAATTTTTCAGTCTTGCAAATAGGACAAAAGAACCAGACTTTTGAACAGTTTTTTGGCAGGGCAAACTTTACTTCTGCAGAAGGGTGCACTGCCAGTGTTTTAGTTACTTTTTACATTGCTGAGATGAAATGTCCATCAAAGTTGAAGGAAGACGGGGCCGGGGATTTAGCTCAGTGGTTGCGCCACCTGCTGTGCAAGTGCAAGGACCCGAGTTCGATCCCTGGTACCAAAAAAAAAAA